GGTTGTTAAATACTAGAAAAATGTTTATATTCAATTGTTATCTATCAAAATACTAAGAAATGTACTAATTCAAGGTTGGTAAAATAATATTATTGGAAGAAAAGAAAATCAAAGAAAGCTACTATGTGGATTATGGAATTATAGAATTTAATTGTTATTGATTGGTTTTAGATATAAACCCAGGCAACACACTGTTTACCAAATATTAAGGTGAATAAAATATATTTTTAAAAGAGAGAGAATCAAAGGAAATGTCTGGAATTGATCTGGAGAACAATTGAGCAGAGAAGGCAACCTGTTATGCTACAGATTATTTGGGCTTTCATTTCTCTTGCTCTGACCAGTTGAAAGAGATTATAGCATCAGATCTCCATAGTACTAAGTTGACTGTTCATGAGTTAAACTAAATGAATTCGTGATTTAAGCAGAAATTTAGCAGCTAACAATGGCTTTAGTATTTGTGTAACTCATGTTCTATTTATGCTTATTGCCTATTCTAAAACTAAGGATATAGCTGGAGACAAATTTAACAAAAGAATGTTATATGCGATAGATATAGAAGCTAAACCTTAAAATTTTGGCCAAAGAATTATGGCTTCTTCATATTTTCTTTGAGTGTGGGATTAATACATGGCTCACTGGCAGAACATACAAATAAACTTTGATATTTTTTTTTCAATTTTGCAAACAGGCATTTCTGTAGTAGTTCTATCAATTACCATGTGTTAAATTCCCACAGTGACTTCTAATACTTATTCTGAGCTGCAATTTATGATTTGGGATTAAACTGATAGTATCCTTGTTTATTATTATTTACTGACCTTTAGCCTTAATCATGACATTCTTAGTGTTTCTTTTTGTTCCTGCATGTGGAAGGGAGAACATTGATGCAATTCCTCTTCAGAGTTTGCCCTATAATTGTGATTAATAACAGTTGCTTTCAGTATCCTGAAACAGGCAGCCTGGTTTGTCTGCCTACCACAATCATCTTGTGATAAATGGAGCTATTTTAACTCTGGTTTTGTGTATCAAAGAAAACAGATGTAGTCTGGGACTTGAGGCTATAAGGAATATAAAGCATATTTGACTTAATCTTCATAGTGCTTACTGTTTTTGTAGAAAGAACCAGACACTTTATACCAGAAAGTGTTTACTCCTAACAGTCCCTTTTCTGGAACAAAAAATTGAAAAATAAAAGAAATTTGACTCCTGAGAAATAGTTGCTCTTTGCAAATAACTTTGTTGCTTTCTTCTCAGTATTTATTTTGTGTATAAATATATCATTTAATGTTAGCTAAGAATAATTTGAAACCAGGAAAAAGAAACATTTCCATTCTGCAGGAAAGCATTGTATTTTGAAGACAAAATTTGCTGAGAGATTAGAAGACATTTCCAACTTCTCTTGAATTCCCTTCCGTTATGTTTAGCTCCTGATTGCCAATAGTATTGGAAATGCAGAGGAGAAATCGTGAGAAGTGTAGAATTTGCATTGATAAGTCTATTCCAGGGGTAGGCAACCTTGGCTCTTTTATGACTCGTGGACTTCAACTCCCAGAATTCCTGAGCCAGCCATGCTGAGCCAGTCCACGAGTCATAAAAGAGCCAAAGTTGTCTACCCCTGGTCTATTCAGTATTGATAGGCTGGTCACTGTTGCCCTTTGCTTGCATGGGTGGGTCTGTGTATTATAGTGCGGTAGTTAACACCTCAGGTCTGTCCATGATATTTAAAATTAATAATCCACTATGGTATGCCAAATGTATTAAAATAAGCATCTTGAGATATAGTAGCATCTTTGAGCCTAGATTAGTGAAACAATCACTTGAAATAAAAATAAGTAATTAAAAGGCTTTCAAAACTTTGCTAGGTTCTTAAATATTTCTGCAATATTCAAAGTAGCTTAATCTTTCACATTTATGTTTGTTTCTGTTGATTAAAAATGGTTTGATTGATTCATTTAGCAGCTATCAGCTGGGCAGTATTTTTATGTGTTTATTGAAGAAATGTTCATGAATATTCAGTTGCAGTTTCAAGGTCTCAAGTAAATTGTTATTCAACTATGTCACTGAAGCAAATCCACTATAGATATTAAGAGGCTAGCTGAATGGATGGGTAAAAGCAAGCATTTGCAATAGCTGAGAAATTAAATATTGCAATAAAATAATGCATTTTTAGGTCTTTCACTAGATCTAAAAACGTCTTAATTAAAATGAATTAAGTTGAATAAATATGAGCCTGCAGATGCCAAAAAAGCCAACACAGTGCTAGGCTGCATTAACAGAGGGATAGAATCAAGATAATGTGAAGTATTAATACCACTTTACAATGTCTTGGTAAGGCCACACTTGGAATACTGCATCCAGCTTTCATCACCACAATGTAAAAAAGATATTGAGACTCTAGAAAGTACAGAGAAGAGCAACAAAGATGATTAGGGGACTGGAAGCTAAAACATATAAGGAACGGTTGCTGGAATTGGGTCTGTCTATTCTAATGAAGAGAAGGACGAGGGATGACATGATAGCAGTATTCCAATATCTCAGGGGCTGCCGCAAAGAAGAGAGAGACAAGCTATTTTCCAAAATGCCTGAAGGCAGGACAAGAAGCAACGGATGGAAACTAACCAAGGAGAGAAGCAATCTAGATCTAAGGAGAAACTTTCTGACAGTTAGAACAATTAACCCGTGGAACAACCTGCCTCCAGAAGCTGAATGCTCCAACACTGGGAAGTTTTTAAGAAGAGACTGGACAGCCATTGTCTGAAATAGTATAGGGCAGGGATGTCAAACTGCCGCCCCAGAGGCTGGACGCATCACGACAAAACTGCGCCCACCCCATTGCCGGCAATGAGGGGAAAGTTCTGATATGTCGCACGACATCATGTGACGTCACGAGTTTGACATGTTTGGTATAGGGTTTCCTGCCTGAGTGGGGGGGGGAACTAGATGACCTCCAAGGTCCCTTCCAACTTTATGATGATGATGATGATGTAGTCAGGTGGTGCATCTGTTATTTTATCTGAGAAATGGTTCTATATTTTCCAAGCAAAATAAAATTCTTTTTTAAAGTGACACCTTGACTTGTTACAGTTGCTAAAAGCAACTGTGGTGCTTCTAACACAGTGAAATTGTCATTCAGGGTTTGCAACTTGGTGCTACAAATGGGTTAATTTCTTTACCAAATATGTTCATAAAAGACCACCGGTGTGCGCTGCACAGTTTTTTTTTACTTTCCGGTTCGCTAATCAAATGTACGTTAGATTTATTATTGTAAAAGTATAAAGCATAGAAAATGTGACAAGATAGATGTGTAAATTATCATAGTGACAGAACTAATGATGCAGTCCAAGCACCTTCTGTTTTCCAGCACTCGGTGAGCAACTTCATTAAATATGCAGTGGCTGTTTGGTGGCTGCTCAGACATCAGTTCAGTCCCTCGTGGAGTCACATTATTGTGGAGGTGGGGAAAAGACAGGCCTGCTCGCTGTTGGACATCCTGCTGTGGCTTTAATGTGCTCCAGCTTGTTGGACCAGTTGTTTTCAGTCTTTTTTTGGACAATTACATCTATATCCACAGGATACATTCACTTAAACAATATTACAGATAATGGAGTATAGTGGCTTAGACTATTCATTGTCTCTTTAGCTCTGATTGGCAGATAGGTGGCTGAGAACGGCTCCTGGTCAGCCTTGCTTTTTTTTCTTTTCTTTCCCCAGAGAGCTTGGTGACAGGCTGATCTTTGGCAGGGGGAAGAAACAATAATACTCTGTTCTCAGTTGGTGTTCATATCATTCATTATCCCTGAGGCAATTTAACCAGCTACCTCAAGCATGGACATCCTAGGTTTAATTGGGGGGAGGGAGGCACCTAATGCAACCAAGACGCATTGGTTGCAACTTGTTTTTTCATACAAATACATCAGACTTTTGGTTTAAATTCATGCTGTATTCAGCACCTGCTTCAATTTATTCAATGGAGGATTAAATGATGTTATAACACTTGCTTAATGATAGAGCAGATTTCATTTAAAACAATTGTAGTTTTTATGACTGTGTTATAAACTCTCATTAAGTTTATATTCGTATTTATAATTTTCTAACATGTGCAAGGAAACCAGCTTGGGGTAGGAGTTAAAGGCACAAGGCCAGCTGGGTGACTTTGGGCCATTCAACTTTAAGAAGAAAGCAAGGGCAAGCCATTTCCAAAAATGTTGCCAAAAAAATTACAGGGACTTGTCACTAGGAGTCAAGACTGGTTATGTAAAGGTAGTAACAGCTGTCAATGGTCTTGGATGTATATGTAGTACTTAAGTGTAGGTTAAACAATGCCTAATGTCTATTAACCCATGTAGTGTGGCTGTAGTATTATTTATCCTTATTTTCTTTACTCCCCATTTTATTGGTATTATGATTCTATTGCTTTGCATGTACACTTAAGAATTTCTGTGCTGGACACATATTCCTTGTGTATCTATTTATACTTAGTCAAATAAAGTATTTGACTCAGTTCAGAGAAAGTTTACTCCTAAATATAGATATAGATAGAACTACAGCCAAAATCTGTCATCCTACTTTTGAGAAATGTGTTTTCTTGTTTATTTGATAACATGACTGTTTTTCATAAAAATAATTTTGTCTAGTTCATTATAGCCTGGGCAATGTTTGTAAAACAGAGTACAGAATCTCTACTCACATGTAAATATATGCTGCTTCAGTTTAATTATATTTAATGCAAGACATCATCTTTGCCCAAACTTGATCTAAATTTCATACTTTGTAAAGAGAAAAGGCAGTCTGGAATCCAGGTTTCCTTTGGGAATACATTGAACTTAATGAGCTTGATAGTCTGGTGGGCTCAATAAATCAAATAAAGCAAAACATTTCTCATTTTTGAATAAAAGCATTTATCACCCAGTGTTTGTTCATTCATGGCCATAAGATTAATTGGTTCCTGCTATTATGGTGAATATTAAAGATACTTTTTGTTGTTTTTTTTCTTCTAGTGGGCAAGTTACGAAAACACTGGCTGAAAGAATGTGTATCTGACGTTGGTTTGGGGATGCTGAAATCCATGAAACAGTTTGTGGATCCCGATAACATATTTGGGAATGGAAACCTTTTATAACCTTGTTACTTTCCACACTGAAGAACCGGAAAGAATAATGTTTGACTCTCATAGTTTTCTGAGTATCCCAAAATAGCATGGAATTAGTTTCAAAAGCTTTTCCTTCCCTGCAAATTTTATAGCTTCTTTCAACTGCAGAGAGAAGACTGTTGACATGCAAGCAGTTCAGACTATAGTTAGATCCATTCAGTTGATATCCTATTGGGATGGCTTTCCTGCTGTAGGTGCTGGAATATTCAAGAGTGTCCCTGATGTGGTTGGAGACTTTCTTGATAGAAAAGCACTTTGGGGAAGCAAATGAAAAATAGGAATATATTTAACTGAAATACAATTTTTTATTGACTAGTTAAAGCAGATAGAAGCAATGCCAAGCTGCAATTGGAAAAAAAAAAGGTTGATATTTTGATAGGAGACAAACATGCTTTCCTCTCTAATACTATTTAAAAAAATTAAATGTTTTTAAATCCTCTTATCAACCTTACTGAGCCAGAAAAGGAAAACTTTCTTTCTTGATATTGGAATTCACTATTACATAAAATGTCAAGCTTCGTAATCAGTCTTCATTTATTTTAGAGAGCAACTTTTCCTAACACTAAAAATAGGGCTATTAGTTTTAATCCTCCCATGGGGGGGGGGGGATGAAATTTCAGCCTTTACAAATCAAAGCAATGTTTAAGTTGTTTGCCCACAAACACAAAATACCAATCTTCTAAAAGTATCCATGAGCATTTAAATTAAATATATAATGTAATATTTCACGGGATAGTTAAAACAATGCAATGGGCCTAGAATTTTATTCTGTCAACGATAGAATAGAATCTCCTGAGGAAACATTCCTTTTGGCAGAAAAGTTGAGGGAAGGAATATTATTTTACGCTAATCCAAGAGCCACTGCCTAGAGTTTGTTGTTCTTATTAAGCATGCCTAAATCAAGCTGACTTAGTTGGAACTAAACTGTTACACCCATTCAAATCCATTATTGTAAAAATAAGGAGATTTAATCAGTTTCATTATAAAGAGGCTTACATGAACAAAAGTACTTGAAACATTTTTTTAGCTTTTATTCCGCTTTGATAACAAAATTGAAGTTTAATATACAAATTTAAACAAACTGTGTAGCTAAACTCAGAAACAGGAGTGTTATCTGGTCCAAGACAAAAATCAGTACGTGTTCAAAACTTAAAAGATTGCTTTACTATAGCAAATGGCTTAAACATACTTCTAAAATAGGCATCTATACATTATTATACTGTAATACCGATGACTCCTTACCATGGTTACAAAATAGGCAGCCATTCCTAAATTTAATCCACAGAAATAAAATTGTATTCAGCAGAGATTGGCTGTTTGGATCATTCAGTCTAGTTGCCCATTGGTATCAGTAAGATTTTGTCAGCCAAAGAGAGAGGTGCTCACGTACTCTGTGACTCCATCTCATTAAAGTCCCAATTCTTCAGAGCAGACTCTAATGAAGACGCACAGGGGGCTATAGAGAATGGAAGTACAAAACTGTCAGCAGGTGGAATCTTAAGCGGATTCCAGTTAAAGACTTACATACAGTATGTGCATTAATTTTTACTTCTGAGTTAGGTTAAGGTATCCTTACCATTACTAGTTTAGTTTCTTACTCGAACAGGGATACACTGAGGATTTGAATTTTGGTTTTATAGAGTACCAAATACAAACCAAATGTGTGTTACAGGGAATACAGTTGCTTTTTTAATAGAATTAAAGCAGAAGCTTAATTTCCTGGTTGTCTTCTCTTGTGACCAAATTTATCCCCCAAATTTCTAGTCTCATTTAAGGTGCTCAATTGGTTTATTTTACTGGTAGGACTTTCTTAATCTTCTCTTTCCTTAGGTTGCACAGAATTATATACTTTGCAGATATGTTCCATATCATTATAGATAAAAAGGAGAGTTCAAATCATGAAGTATAATCTTGTGTCATGTGGGTACAGTCCTATCAAAGTAATTGTGAAGTCACAAAGATGGGCAGACTTTTGGAGAAAGACACAATGCAAATAACTGTGAACAATGTAAATTGCTTTACTTATGCCTATTTTGCTAAACCTTTTTTAATTGTTAAATCGTTTGGAGTATTAGCGAGAGTTACTTGTAAAATATGCACTAGCTGAATGCTAATTTTGAAAAGCAATGTTCATTAAAAAATCAGAAATATACCAAATAAAAAAGCTGTTGTTTATTTTTTCATGGCATACTAACAGACTTGTGAAAGCTATATGGGTATATGGCATATTTAATTTTTCTCTACTGCTGCATTGTAACACTTTGCTGCCCTTTCATGAGAATCCAATACTCATAGAGTCAAAAATATTTATTGATGAAGTTGCAGTACTTTTCACCAGACATCCAAATGTACACAACCATGCAGAAGCCAAGAGGGTTGGAAAGCTCAGAAACCTCTTCCATCACGGAGCAAAACTGCTGGAGATGAAATAGAAGCATGTGTGGTGCCCGTGCTTTTGAGGGTCTAGTCATAACATGAGCTCTTCCCAGCAGGTGCCCTTACAAAATAATGAACATGTTTTAAATAAGACTAGATGCTTAATAAACTTTTTACAATGTTGTGATAACTACTCAGGACTGTTCATGGAGAGGATGAGTGAGCTTGGAAAAGTGCCTTGTTGCTTTCAGACTGGTCCTAGCCTGTTATGGTTTTTTTCCAGACACACTCAGTGAGGACTATGTAGGCCCTGTGATGGGCTGCACAGCACGTCTCTGATAGGTTTCAGTATAAATGAAGTTATGAAAATTGCAAGGAAAAACCCAATTTGATACACCCTAAGCAATTTTTGGGGATTCTGCCTTTAACATCAGTTTTACAGGATCAGCTTTATATTAGTTAAAATGTTTTCAGTGCCACCCTGATAGAATAAGTTTTAAGTCACAGATGACCACTGTTCTCAGTTTAGTTTGCTTCCAGTTCATGGTGAGCAAAGGATTAGGCAACCACGTCCCTCACAGATGAAGGACCTTGGATCAAACTGTGATTCCCCCATAAAATGAGGAGAGGCCTTTCAAAAGTAGATTGTGAAGAACAAGTAACAAAAATGGAGAAGAGGGAATCAACCTTTTGTGCCTGGAATATAATTGGTTAGACCTGAGCATTGGCATTTACATCTTTCAGTGGAACATGTTTGTGTACCATTTCAGAAAGTTACGTTGAATTTAAAAAGAATGGAGTTTTGTAGTTTTCAGTTTAGAAAGGCTGTTATTTAGAAGTCATTTTACACTAAGAGTGCCTGTTGTTTTGGGGACTAAATTGTTACGTTAAATGTATCTTTGTATTTGCGTTGTGGTGGTTTTTTATGTAGCAGTAGGGTGATTAATTTGGGTCTGGATCATGGCATAAATGGGAGAAAAGCAGGGAGGATTTCAGCCAACATTCTTGATTCAGATTGAAGCCTCAAATGGGGTTCCAATCAAAAAAAAGTAAAAGCACATCCACAGGTATATTTAACCTAACATTTTGGGACAGCATATCACATTAAAAAGTTAATCCACTATACTACTAGCTAATGAAACCGAGTTTTCTGCTAATTATGTAGAACATGTTGATCATATATTGATAAGTTAATTGTACAACTACTGTTACAATGTTGACATTATAGCTGCTTATTAATAAAATGGTCCTAAATGTTCTCCATAAGTTGATTAAATTAATACATTTTCAAATGGCTTGCTGTTTCTCTTTTATTGAAATATTTTAACTAAATGTCAAGCAGTGATAGAAGCTATTGGTATTTTAGGAGGTTAGCCTTTGAGACAAAGGATCAGTCTTTTAGAATATAAAACTTCTGTCTGTTTTAACTGAATTCTCTATTGTTTTCCAGATAACATTTTCTGAAGCCAGACCTAATAAATTGAGTTTACTGATTAAGCTAAGCATCAGGGTGATCTATCTGGTTTTGGTAGCCTATCATGTCAACCCAGAGACTGGGGTTTATAAATAACTAATTATGGCTCAGCATGTGGTATGAGCCAAGCCACTTAGATTGTTCTGTAAACTATGGCAGAGCATGCTGTATGTCTCCGGCTGCAGCTGCCTTTCATGTGGCCAGATATCTCGCATTTTCTGGAATACTTTGGTTTCTTATCTTTGTTGCAACTCTTTTACTATTTAAATGCTAAAGAGTTAATATCTGATCTATGTACGGTTTGCTCGATTTCGGGGAGGCTTCAAAGTCCATTCATGTGGAATTCTGCTGAGTAAAAAACCTAGCAAACTGCTCAGGCTGAGACTGGAACCTGATTCAACTTAATTTTCCACTAGTTCTTGTCCAACTCGGAGCTGCCTTTCCCAAAACTTTATTGTGAAAGGAAGTACAAGCAGCCTCTGTTTACTGATTGCCTCTGACAGCAACTGTGAATAGTTAACAGCAGTGATGAAAGAAAGCTACCAACGCCCGCATTTACAATCTTCACAGCCTATCTGTCTCTCTGAATCACATGTTTGTCATTATAATCAGTACACGTGTCTGTGCCTGCTTCCTTATGAGTCAGGTTCCAGAAAGTCCCTGCTGTTTGGGTTTACTTAGCGGTTTGGGGGTCATATCCTTCTGACTTGTGAAGCAAAGGAAATCTGAAGTAAAACTGTAAGCATAGTTGTTGTGGTCGAAATGATTTTCATTTAAGGACCACTTTGCTTAACAACCAAGTTGTCAGAACACACTGTGGTCATTAAACAAAGACCACCTGTATCTAAGCTTCTGTTCTGATATGATTTGGGGTAGGGGGCAGCTGAATGAAGGAATATTTATGAGTGTTGAAGAGTGGTGAGAATTGTTAAACAGATCATTCTTTAGTCTTGTACAAAAGTAGCCTCTTGTTACTTTATTAAAAATCCTGAAATTAGAAGTCTCTTTTACAGTTAGTGGTTTCAGTATAAGTAAGATTAATTGTTGCATCTATGTGTTGATAGTGTTATCTCTTTGTATTTGGTACAGTACACTGTACCAAAAGAGGATACACTGAAGGAAGAGTCAGTGACGGGCATGGAAGGTTAATAATTTGCCCTAGAGTTGGAACCTGGAAATAATACATGTGCAAGACTATCACATGACAAGATATTCCAAGGGATATTTAAGACTATTTATCTGATATAATTCTTGGAATCCCTATTGTCATTGAACAATCAAGGCCAGATATACTTTTATCAGATAGATATCTGGAATACTGAAGTGATCCAGCAATCAAGCTGAAATAATCTGTCATTGCTTATAAAAGAATTGGAAGGAAGAGAAATCTGAAGGCCATCTCCAATTCCATCATGGTTCATCTCAATGCTTTCCAGAATCTTTCCTATCTTGTTTGTTGCCTGGCCAGCAATAAGAAGAGTGTTTTGGTTATGTATACGTGCTGTAGTTCACACATCTGAGACCAAATGAGATATAGAAGGCTGCTCTAATTTGACTCAGGAATACATTGGATTTGTTTGTACTTTAACTAGATGTGTATGTCCTACATGCTTACCAAAATTTTAGGACTTTTAGTGTGCTGAAGAAATTGAGACCAGAAGTAAAAAACCTGGTGCCATTTGAACGTTCTGGCTTCAATTTCCATCAACCTTAGTTAATTTTGCCAGAAGGAAGGGATTGTGAAGGGCAATAGGGTTTCACTTCCTTTTGTGCTCTTTCAACCCAAGAAGCACATGTTCCCAAGTAGTTTTGGGAACAATACAAACTTTATCTGAGAGGTGGGTTGCTGTCAGCATGTTCAGCCATGCAAAACACGGTGATGATGGATTCAGAAAAGACATTGAAGGATTGTGATATGTGACTATTTGGTAGCAGTTGGTAAAATAAAACAGGCACCCAGTCTTGACAGAAGGCAATAAAAAGGTTATTCTTCAATCTTGAATAGGGTGGAGTTCTGAAAGAGCTGAAGTTATGGCAAGTCAAATATAGCATTAACTCTTGTTTTGATCTCCTAGAAGAACAAGGTGAATTCCATAGTGCAAAACTTCAATTGAATGTGGGAAATCTGAACTATCTAGCCATAATGTATTTCAAGATAGGATTATATTTTACTCCCAATCATTTTGTTCAGTTTTTAAATGAAGAAAAAACCTGAAAACGGAGCAAAAAGCTAACTATTAAGTAATATCTCTAGCAAATTGAAAGTCTATTAGCAAATAAAAATCAGAACCTATTTAAATCACTTAAGATTTGCAGATGATGTTGTTCTCTTCTCACGAGACCCAGAAAAGCTACAAAGATATATACAAGAGCTGCACAAAGCAGGAGAACCATTTGGCTTAAACATAAACCTGAAAAAGAGCCAGGTTATGTTTAATAAATTCACCAAAGAAAGAAAAAGTTTACATCTGGTAAAGAACTAGACACAGCAGACCACTACATATACCTTGGCCAATGGATCTTAATGGAAGGTGATACAATAAAGGAAACTGAACAGAATGTTAAATGCGGTTGGTAGGCATTCAGCAAGCTAAGCATAATTTTCAAGAACAACCTCCCCCTGTGCTTGAAGAGAAAAGTTTTCTATCAGTGTGTGCTACTGCTCTAACATATACCAGTGAAACATGGACCTCACAATGCAAAAGCTAAGAATGGCGCAGAGAGCCATGGAAAGATACATGCTCAGCATTACAAGGCAAGGTAGAAAGACCAGCACATGGATCATTAGAGAACAAATGAAAGTATACAATATCATCAAGAGAGTAAAAGAACTGAAATGGAAATGGGCCGGACACATAGCAATAGAACTGATGGCAGGTGGACCAAGGCAGTCATAGAATGGATTCCACTTGATCAAAAGCGTCCATGAAAGAGACCTAAAACATCAACATCAGCAAGCATTGTGGGCCCAATTGGCAAAAGAAAGCTCAGGACTGTATTGGTTGGAAACATGCGGAAGGGGCCTTCATCCTGCAGTGGATAGACAGTAGCTATGATGATGATGATTTAACTTACATAAACAGTCTGGTGGGAACACAAAGAAGCAAAAGTGTAGGGTGCTCTTGACTCAATAGATTCTTGCAGCTATATCAAAAGGAGTGGAGATGGACAAAAGACAGTATTCTATTTGAGTGGTGTAATGCTCTTTAGATGGGGCAGCCCTTGAAGACCCATTGGAGCTTCAGCTGATCCAGAATGCAATGGCACAAGCAGTGGCAGCTCTGTCTTGATATGTTAATATGATATCCCTGTTTACATGAGCTGCAGTAGTTACCAGT